GACAATTGGGGATACTCCATCTTGGTGGAACTGGAAGTTTTCGCCCAAACCTATTTTGCCCCCAAAACCCAAAGAGATCTACGATTAATGTGCATTATTATTTTTCTTTCCCTTTTGAAACTTTGCCAACATTGTAGGCACCTGAACTTTTGCAGGGTTTCTCCCACCTCTATCTAGTATGTGTCTTGTTAAGGTTTCCACGGTTGGTGCTTGCTGCTTCCAGCTTATATTCCACTTACTAATATATTTCTTAATGCCTTGATGAAGGGAATGTTCTTCTAGCCCTACTAGGGGTGTGTCAAAGGATAGCTGAGCAATTTTCACCACATTAGATCCATTCCAGTGTTCCTATTTCTCTAAGCACTGGGTCGCCAACCTCTAGCATATGTAGAGGAAGTTCTAGCATCTTTATCACATTTACTGTAGGCCTCTTTTTAGTCAAGGCTTCTATTAGCCACTCCCAGGTGTCAAGCTAACATTAAATCCTGAAGCCTAGGTGAAGCACCTTGTTGGCCTTCCCAACCTTACATTTATCCTCAGTGGTTCATGTATTTAGACTTCATTTCCATGTGTATACTCCAGGTTCCTGCTAATAAAATTTGGTAAAATTCAGCAACAGCTTCAGTATATTCGTTATCTTCCCTAGGAGTGAATCTTAAAATTCTCTCACTGGGCATGCTGGATTTTACTTTCTTTATTGCCCTAGAGAAAATGGGAGAAACTGGGAGATCAGGTGGCTGTGGCAATGACTGCTACAACAGTGAATTTAAGGCTGTAGGGTGAGAGAGCTACTTTTGATTGTGTTGAAGAGATTTCCAAAAAAAGAGAAAAGCGTAAGACCTTGAATTCTCAGCTCAAGGTATGGGTAGGAAAATCAGAGAGTATCTATAGTGGCCTTACAGAAAACCTTATTTTGTGAAGTTGTAGGAGAGATGTGGTAGTGGTGGTCCGTCCTGAAGAGAACAGATATTCCTAAGTCATCAAACTATTGTTGTGTCAGGGAATGCATAGTTTTCTTAGAAGATGAGAAGCGCTGTTTCTGGTGTCAAGAAATGTTTAGAGTTGTTTAGAGGCTCAAGAATCTCAGCTTTGTGTCTACCTAAAAGTTCCTATCCCAAGCCTCAAATTTGCACTCCTTCCCAACCAGTACATTTACCTTAGAATAAGAGACTTGGTGTAAATGTACCTATAACTGATACTGCAGTTCTGCAGCCTATGCATCCAGACCCCATCCACATCTCTCCTACAACTTCACAAAATAAGGGTTTCTGTAAGGCCACTATAGATACTCTCTGATTATCCTACCCATACCTTGAGCTGAGAATTCAAGGTCTTAAGCTTTTCTCTTTTTTTGGAAATCTCGTCAACACAATCAAAAGTAGCTCTCTCACCCCACAATCTTAAATTCACTGTGATATTGCAGCAGTCAGTGCCACAGCCACTTGATTTCCCAGTGCCTCACCCTTCTTTAACATTCACTTCAGGTAATACTGTGGGTGATCATGATTCCATAACATGCCATCAATTAGCATTAGGTCATTAAAAAAACAGGGAAGGAGGAAAAGACCCAGATGGATGTCAGAAGAGACTCCGAAACTTGTTCTTGAACAGAAAGTAGCTAAATCAAATGGAAGAAATAATCAAATAAAAGAGCTGAACAGAATCTTTCAAGCACAGTAAAGTATCATAATGAAATGTGCAGAGGCCTGGAATTAGAAAACCAAAAAGGGAAGAATACACTTGGCATTTCTCAAGGTAAAAGAACTAAAGAAAAAATTTAAGCCATAAGTTGCAATATTGAAGGATTCTAAGGGCAAAATATTGAATGATACAAGAAGCATCAAAAGAAAATGGAAGGAATACACATAGTCACTGTACAAAAAAGAATTGGTTGACATTCATACATTTCAGGAAGTAGTATGTGATCATGAACCAATGATATTAAAGGAAGGAGTCCTAGCTACACTGAAGGAACTGGTGAAAAACAAGGATCCAGGGCTTGACAGAATACCTATTGAGATGTTTCAGCAAACAGATGCAGCACTGGAGGGGCTCACTTATTCATGCCAAGAAATTTGGAAGACAGCTGGCTACCTGGCCAAGAGACTAGAAGAGATCCGTATTTATGCCCATTTTCCAAAGAAAGGTGATCCAACGGAATGTGAAATGTATCAAGCAATATAATTCATACCACGCATAAATGAAATTTTGCTGAAGATAATTAAAAAATGGTTGCAGCAGTATATGGACAGGGAATTGCCAGAAATTCAAACTGGATTCAGAAGAGAACATAGAACAAGGGTATCATTGCTGATGTCAGATGGCTCTTGGCTGAAAACTTAGAATACCAGAAATATAGATACCTGTATTTCATTGACTATCTATACAGAGGCACTCAGCTGTGTGGATTATAACAAATTATGGATAATATTGCAAAGAATGGGAATTCCAGGACACTTAATTATGCTCATGAGGAACCTATACATAGACCAAGAGGCAATCATTCGAACAGAAAAAGAAGATACTGAATGGTTTAAAATCAGGAAAGGTGTGTGTCAGGGTTGTATCCTTTCACCATAATTATTCAGTCTGTGTACTGAGCAAATAATAAGCCAAGAAACTGAACTATATGAAGAGGAATATGGCATCAGGATTGGAGGAAGGCTCATTAACAACCTGTGATATGCAGATGACACAACCTTGCTTGCTGAAAGTGAAGAAAACTTGAAACACTTACTGATGAAGATAAAAGATGATAGTCTTCAGTATGGATCACACCTCAACATAAGAAAACCACAGTCCTTCCAACTGGGCCAATAAGTAACATCAGGAAAAATGGAGAAAAGATTAAAGTTGTCAGAGATTTCATTTTACTTGGATCCACAGTCAATGTCCATGGAAGCAGCAGTCAAGAAATCAGATGTATTGGACTGGGAAACTCTGCTGCAAAAGACCTCTTTGATGTGTTTAAGAGCAAAGATGTCACTTTGAAGACTAAGGTGTGCCTGACCCAAGCCATGGCCTTTTCAGTTGCTTAATAAACTTGTGAAAGCTGGACAATGAATAAGGAAGACCGAAGAAGAAGTGATGCATTTGAATTATGTTGGCAAAGAATATGGAAAATACCATAGACTGCCAGAAGAATGAACAAGTCTGTCTTGGAAGAAATACAACTGGAATGCTCCCTAGAAGCAAAAATGGCCAGACTTAATCTCACATACTTTGGTCATGTTGGCAAGAGGGACTAGTCCCTGGAGAAGGATGGCATGCTTGGTAAAGGAGGAGGGTCAATGAAAAAGGGGAAAACCCTCAACAAGATGGGAGTGACACAGTGGCTGCAACAGTGGGCTGAAGCATAGCAAATATTGTGAGGATGGTGCAGGACTGGGTAGTGTTTCATTCTGTTGTCACTGTGTCTTGGAGCTGACCCTGTGGCACCTAACAACAATAACATTTTCTCCTAGCAAGGAGATCATTAGTGTACTTATCAAATATATGAGCAACCTAATCCCATATTCTGGCTATATTATCAGCTTTGTAACATATATAATCAACTGAGGTACCAGCCAAAAAACAAAATACACATTCTATGGGATTTTGAAGAAAAATTCGTGAAGAAGGACTGTTTACAGAAAGTTAGGGAGGATTCAGAGGACACACAGAGAATGTTGAATCACCCTGGGACTCACAACAGTAAGAGGCATAGTCCTTAGGCTTGTGGGACAAAGGGAACTCTGGAGCCTGGTGAGAACTGGTGCTTGAAAGGGATCTGTTTCGTAGGAGCTAAACCCCTAGAGGTAGAAAGGAAGTGAGGTAGAAATACTTTTCTCTTTTCAGCGAGCACTCTCTGCTGGTGTATTACCTAAGGCATTTGACTGCTAACCAGAAGGCTGGCAGTTCAAACTCACCAGCCACTCCTTGGAAGAAAGATTGGGCAATCTACTTTCGTAGAGATACCACCTTAGAAACCCAAGGAGGGGTCACTATGAGTGAGTTTGGTTTGATTTTGGTTTCTCTTTTCAGCCTCTTCCTAAGGCTTCCCAGTGGCCTAGCCCAGCCGGAAGCCAGAGACCAAGGCAGCTTTGGTGTCATATCTGTACAGGTCAAACCCACCCTTCCACCTCCAGCCACAGAGAAAGGCAAAGAATGGATTAAGGGATGGAGAGATGAAAAACATTAGCACAGGGGGTCTTGTGAAACCAACAGTAGACATATTTTCTCCTTGCCAAAGTATAGCACTTCTGGTGGGAAAACAAGCTGTCTAATGACTGGAGCTATCCAGAGGGACCAAATGGCCCCAAAGACCTCATGACTCACCACTCAAAGGTGTCCAAACAGGATTTCTAAGAAGGGATTGCTCTCTATGTTAGAAGACATCAGACAAAGACTTATATTATTCAGATTCTGAAATTACTTCTAAGAAGAATCCATGTGAATACATTTTTAGGACAAATGCCTTAAAATTATTAACTTCTGCATGTAATATACTTGTGTTCTAGCGAAATTTGGTGCCATTTTTTGTTACAGGATTTTTACAATGTAATTCAAATTCTATGACTGCATTGTTGGTTTTAGTACACGGAATTCAGAGTATAATATGGAAAAGGCTTGTTTTTTCCTTAGCTTTACTTTAAAAAAAAATTCACTGCCATCGAGTCATATCCGACTCATAGCGACCCCTCCTTGGGTTTCCCAGGCAGTATCACTGCGGAAGTAGACTGCCCAATCTTCCTTCCAAGGAGTGGCTGGTGACTTTGAACCGCCAGCCTTCTGGTAAGCAGTTAAATCCCCTAGACAGTTGTTAATTAAATGAACATAATATGCACATACACCCTTCACCTGATTCTAGAACTTACTTTTAAAAGGAAATGTCCATTTCTGTTGTGTAATTTTTTGATCATGCTTAACTCTCTATTTTGCAAGTGTTATCACTAATGGAAAGAATCTAGAGACTTACTCTTGAGCTAACAATGTTTTTCTCTCCTTTTTTCCCCTTTCAGGAGGACAACTGTGAGTTTTGTGGCTTACTGCTGCTCCACCCGGTGTCTGCAGACTTTTGACTTACTGAGTTGATAAACACTCATCAGCCCTTAGTGACCCAAGTGTCACCAACTTGACACTGCAGTCGCCTGCAGTGTGGTGGGAAGGAGGGAGAAGGCCAGAACAGGAAACAGACCTTCCCATACTGCTTAATCAAATGCAGGAGACTGCAGAACTTTCTGGAAGGTCCTGATTGAGCTTCAGAACTAAAATGCCTTCACCATCCCCCCCAAGTTGGAATATATTCCTCCCCAAATTAAGGACCCTTTGTCTTGTGTGTGTTTCTTTTTCTGTGTGTTTAATACTCAGACTGTTTAGTTTTGTGTGCCTCCTCAAATCTAAAACAGATTTCTGTTCTCTGAAGAACTATAATGTGATAAAACGGCCAAATTAACCTTTGAACACATTCACCTTCAATGATCATTCCAGTCTTCTCCTCTCTTTATTTCCCCATAGAATTATTTACCCCAGAAGTTATTCTCGCTGGTTCTCCTAGTGGTAACTTGTCAGTTTTTTTGTTTTTTTATTTATTTTATTTGTTGTGGTTGAGAATATACATAGCAGAACATACATTAATTCAACAATTTCTACATGTACAATCAGTGACATTGATTCATTCTTCAAGTTCTGCAACTTTTTTTTTTTTTAATTGTGATCTGGGTGAAAGTTTACAGAGCAAATTCACTTTCCATACAGCGGTTCACATACACTTGGTCTCATGACATTGACTACAATTTACCCCAGTGAAACAGCTCCCCTCCCACTTCCTCCTGATAGTTACCACTTCCCTGTGTCCATCCCTCCATGCACTCTTGCCCCCAAACTGTCTCCCTGTGGATAAACAGCCCTTTTTTCTCCCATGATTGTTCTCTCCAAGGAATGTATCTACCTCAGGTAAATGTTCAACTTGTATGCCTGTCTTATGTTTGGCTGGAAGCCACAGGTGTGGGTTCAGTTCCAGACCTGAAGGGGAGCTAGGGGCCATAGTCTCAGTGATTAGTTTTTGAAGAGTTTCAGCAACCTCCCTGGCATCAGCAGGGTGGGGTGCCTGAGTTGGCAGCAAAGTCAAGCTCCCATGGAGGCTGCGCAAGCATCGCAGAGCACACCGTCTCTGGAAGGTTACAGCCTTGTTTACAAGTTGTGCAGGGCATTGAGAGACCTTTTTTGGGAGGAGAGGGGGAGTAAAAATGTAGATTGCAAATGAAATACATTTTTACTTTAAAAGACAATTTGCAGAAAAGTAATTTTTGAAATTATTTCCTGATTTTATATTTTTTTATATCGAAAGAGTTTAAGGAATATATGAGGCTTTAAAAGATCTGATCCCTTCTTTCTAAATTTAAGCATTTCAGCATAATGAGAAAAGGGGAGAAAAAGTGCATCTAGTGTTCTGTTACATGGGTTTATGATTAAATTTATATTAACTTTGAAATGTTTTTATATGTGAAAAATATTTCTGCTACTACTTTTTAATGGGATGATTCTAAGTACATCCTGGCACATTTACTTTAATATAGGATGCATTTGGTTATCTTCATTTTGCCCCTGTATTTTTTATGTACTTAACACCTATAGGACAGTTTTACTCTGTTCTACAGAGTCACTGTGAGTCAGAATCAACTCAACAGTAGTGGGTTTGGGTTTTTTCTGGTTTCACACACTGTTTTCCAGGACACTGAGAAAAAACAGGAAAGGAGTTCCAAATTCTGCCTTGGACTTTTGCAAAAAGATCATAAACTGAAAGTACATGAAATTACACCCTGACAGAAAGAAAGACTCTTAATGTAGGAGTCACATTTCTGCTCCTCCTTTGAAAGGATGGCATTTTATCATTCCTTTGCTGCCAGATGTTCATCTGGTTGTTGTGAAGTGATTTTTGGGGGGATGATACAGAGTTTTGTATGAGGCAGGACTAGAAGGGGAACCAAGAAGCTTTGCTTGGTAGAATAATTATTTTTGAAACATTCCAAACTTATAAAAAATTTGATTTGTGGAATTTTATTAGCTGCCCTAAATCTTTAATGCGAGGCTCAAACTGTGCTAAAAGTCCTGCATAGTTGGCATAGTTACCGACAAATGTGTGATCTGTTCACAGTCTCACCACCTGCTGCACAAAAAGCAGCCTTTCTATGTGGAATGGGGAAGGCAGAAAGTGATCACAGGTTCCAACAGCATCTGCACTGTTCCTGCTTCCTCTTGTCCCTTTCATAACATGTTCTGGTCAGCCTTAGTATTTCAAAGGCTTATAGTATAATAGGAAATGAAGATCTGTATCAAAATATAACAGTTCTTTCATCCTTTGGAAATACTGACATTTTAACTGTAACTTCTACATGTACATAATTGGCAGGTTAAAAATGTGACATAACTTCATAAATGTGATTAATGCATAAGTGGCTGGTACCTCTTGTTTAAGTGACATGAAATATATTGCAGTATTTTTCTGTTTTACCTTTACAACCACATGTCTTAAAATAGAGCTGTGAAACATACTAGCCTGATATTCAGGATTCCTTTTGTTTTGACATCTCTGAGATTTGCAAAGGCCCTTACAACAACCCTAGCATCCTCTTCTGTATCTGTGATAAACTGTTTGCATTCAGCATCAGCAATGGGCTGGGCATTACCTTTGGGCAGTCTTGGCCTTAATCCCAGGTGTAGCACCTGAGCATCTTTGATGGAAATTATAAATGGAATTTATAATTTAGTTTCCCTGGTGCCATTCATTACAGAATTTTGTGCTGGATTCACTGATGTTATTCTTAACCTTTTGATATTATAAATAGTGTTGTAGACAACATCTACATGGCATATATTTTAATAGTGAATTAAATAGAAAAGCTAATGCCAAAGTTACTCTATATGTTGTTTTCTTGAGCAACAGTTATACTAGATAGAAAGAAATTTCATGCAATAGTAGTAATGCCAGAACAAAAAGGGCTACTTAGAAAATATTTATTCACAAAATTCACGTCAAGGAGCTCTGGTAGCACAGTGACTAAGGTATGTGCCTGCCAACCAGAAGGTTGATTGTTCAAACCCACTAGCCACTTGGTGGAAGCAAGACTGGGCAATCTACTTCTGTAAAGATTTACCACCTCAGAAACCCATTGGGGCTTGCTATGAATCGGAATTGACTGATGGCAGTGGGTAGTAGTAGTAAGTTAACATCAGTGATCTGAAGTGTGGTTATGGGTAAATCTAAAATTTCAGAATGACCTTTTTGGCTCTGGCCTTCCTATAAAAAACAAAAAGAACCAGTGGCCGTTGGGTCTATTCCTACTCATGATGACCCCATGTGTGTCAGAATAGAACTGGACTCCATAGGGTTTTCAGTGGCTGATTTTGGCAGCAGATCACCAGGTCCTTATTCCAATGTGCCTCTGGGTGATCTTGAACCTCCAACCTTTCATTTAGCAAATGAGTCCATTAACTATTGTGCCACCCAGGGACTCCTGGCTGTATTATAGTGCAAAAGGGGCCTGTTTTAAGTGGATCACCTTATCGTTGTCCTTCAAGTTGCCTAACTATTACCATCCCAGACACATTGGTTATAAACATTGTTTAGATGAAATGCCATATTTTCAATTAAATTATTTTTGAACACACTTTTTAAATTTTAAAAAATGATCAATACCCTACAGAGCCCTAGCTGCTGGAAGATCCAGTCTAGTTGATAGAGAAGAGTGATGAACTCCTGTGTCTGCCATCTGTCCGTCTTCAGGGTAAATGAAGAATACTTGAAACAACTCTTGGTCTACATACTTGGCACTCACTAAAACCTTTCACACTCTGATTTGTCTGACTAATTTGATGAACATCTCACTTTTGTTTCACATTGAGCATTACTAACTAAAATGTTTACAGTTGAAGGAAAAATGCTTCAACGTTAATTGGCTTATGAGCTCCTGAATTTACTTTTCCCAAAATATATACCCATTTTTTAATTTATGGTGAGTTTCAAAGACAGTTTCTAAAATTAGATTTATGTTTCCTGAATTTAAAAATGAGACATTCTTATCTTTACCATAAAAAGCTTAATATTGTACACTGCTTCAGCAGAAATCAAAATTCTTTTTCCAAATTATTTATGAACATGAATTGCTAGCTAGGCCAACACTAATACAAACTGATATAATTAAATATTATGATGTAAACTCACTTCATAAACTGGTAAACACTTTGTTTAAGAATCTCATTTAACACATTAAAAGGAAAAATGTGGAATAAACGAAAAACATTAAAAGCCCAGGATTACTGGTTGGATAAAAAAACAAAAACTCACTGCTGTTGAGTTGGATCTGACTCATAGTGACCCCTCAGGTTTTCGAGGCAGTGTCACTGTGAAAGTAGATTGCCCAATGTTCCTTCCGCAGAGTGGCTGATGCGTTTGAACCGCCAACCTTGTGGTTAGCAGTCAAATGCCCTAGGCACTACACCCCTGAGACTATGGCTCCTAGTCACTCTTCAGGCCTGGAATTAAACTCCTGTGGCTTAACCAAAACCATAAACCAAAGAGCTGAACAACTACCAGGGAGGTGCACTCCTTAGAACAATCAACTGTGGGAGATCAGAAAGGCAGCACATGCACAGGCGGAAAGGTAGGGAGGCAGGAATGCATAGGCAAGAACGACACAGGGAAAGGGAAACCACAGGGCAGGAGTGGGAAAAGACCTGTTCATTGTGAGGATTGTAATCACTGTCACAAAATGTGTACAAACTGTTGAATGTAAAGTGAATCTGCTTTGTAAAATTTCACTCAAATCACAAAAGTTATTGAAAAGCAGCAGCAAGTAAGGGAGAGAGGGAGGGACCACTACCACCAAGAAAGAAGAGCCAGGATACCTGTACTGAAAAGGTCCTTAACCCAGGGGAAGACCAAGGCACATGTAGATCTCCAAGGAATGCTGGGCCCACAGATGTTGAACAGAGACAAGAACCTTCCTCAAGAGCTGACAAAGAAAGCCTTCCCCTAGAGCTAGCACCTGCATTTGGACTTCTACTCTCCTAGACTATGGGAGAATAAATTTCTGTTTGTTAAAGTCAAAA